TCCTGCGAGGTGCAGGGGTCGTGGGTGCGCATTGTTGATGAGTCCCATACCCGGACGAAAGGGCCGTCCAGTGCTTCCAGGTTTCTAATGATGGTCTAACAATGATTGATAGACGATTTCAAATGTGTTAAAACACAAACTTCCAAACTCTGCCCCAAAGTATTGATTTAAGCGAAGACATTTCTTCGCTTCGAATCACTATCATAATTTTTAAGTTTATATTGTCGTGTTCGGTATGAGAAATCTCATCCAAACATAAACCAAGTATCCTAGCTTTCAATGGATGACTGAATGTAATCAATACTAATTGTCAGTTAATTAAAAAAAAATCTACCTTTCATATAACTCCAAAACTTTATTTAATTACAAAGTATTTATAAAATAATAATTCGAAAACACATGACGAACATATTTTTCATCTTTCAACAGGCTGTTCACATTTACATTTAGATGAATGATCCAAATTATTTATCCCAAAAGTGGCCTAGATTTAAGGAATTCAAGTCTATCCATCTACTAAGTTTTCGTTGGAGTAAGAGAAAAGCCTTTCTAGATGCTGTATATTGAGTAGATGGGTCACTTAAAAAAAGGAACTTCAACAAGAAAACTACTTACATTATCCAACATACAAATTGTATTAGTTTTATCCCTCGACAGTATAAAAATAACCTGACTAAGACATTTCGATATATAGCCAAGACTAAGCACATCCTAGATGCAGTCGCAGAAGAAATAAACGCATTACTTAATACTCTGACATTTAATTGATATCTTAACCAAGGCAACTGAGCAGTAATTTTATAAATTACATACTTACTTACGCCTGTTACCCCCAATGAAGCATAGGCCACCGACCAGTTTTCTCCAACCTACTCTGTCCTGGGCTTCGCTTTCCAGTTCATTCCATTTTTTGTTCATTCTTCTCATATCTTTCTCTATTTCTCAGCGTAATGTGCTCCTTGGCATTCCTCTTTTCTTCATGGTTCCATGTGAGGGCTTGTCTCGTGACGCAGTTAGGTGCTTTTCGTAGTGTGTGTCCTATCCAATTCCACAGCTTCTTCCTGATTTCCTTCTCCACCCGAATCTGGTTTGTTATTTCCCACAGTGGGTTGTTGCTGATCGTGTCTGGTCAACGAATCCGAAGTATTTTGCGAAGACAACCGTTCATAAATACTTGTATCTTCTGGATGATGGCTTTGGTAGTTCTCCAAGTTTTCATTCCATACAGTAGAACTATCTTGACATTTGTATTGAAAATCCTGATTTTGGTGATTTTTGGTGATATTTGTTTGGAGTTCCAGATAATAATTATATAAATACTTTTCTAATATCAGATCTACTCTGAAAATGATGTGATGATTTAAGGCAATCAACTCCAACCGAAAAATATTTCTTTTTACTTAGTGTATGACTAATATCAGGCATTTTTTTTTACTGTGACCAATCTCATCAATAATAATAATAATAATAATATATTCAAATTGTCTTTCCTAGAAATCTTTTCTATTTTTGTAAGTGAACAATTAGAAATATGTACAATATAATGAATGCATTTCTAAATTTTCATTGACTAGAAGAAATGCACAAAACATTTCTGATAAGTTAAGTACATTACAATCAATTTTAACTAGCATTCTAAAATAGAAATGAAGTAAATTAACCCTGTTCCACGAACTCCCATGGTTAAACTATGTGTAAGTACTATACACAATGGATTCAAACATTGAATCAGTGAAAATAATTAATAAACAAAAAGAAATGCGTACTTGTTACAATCTCGATGCATAGAATATACTTGCTTATCTCTACATTTTGTAGTTTTAGCTATCGGTTTTTATGAAACTTTCTTTGTGTTTCAATCATCAGACAAAACTCAAATGTAAAACTTTCTGGGGACGTTAGGTCCCCAGAACCCGCTTTATAAAGGTCCTACTTCTGGATTTTGTGTTTTAGAGCATAACTTGCTTAGTTGACCTTCAGATTACATTCCCCACTCGGAAAATCCTCGACTTTCATTGGTTGATGTATTCTGGCTCTCCAAAGGACGTTTCCATCATGTATAAATAAGCTCGATTTGTGTGCTTGTCAACGTCGTATTTTCTGAGTGCTTATAGAATACACTTTCTACACCTTATCAAGACTTTTTGATATTGTTAGCCGGATCGAGGACAAACGAATTAGAATAGCCCATCGTGTCACTGTATCATTTGTCTTCTCTCTCGTTTACCGAGTAAGATGAACTCGTTCAAGCATATCAACTGGCGACAGTGGTTTCGGAAACATGTATTCTTCCAAACTTGAATTATTACTTAAGTAGCAGCTAAAACTAATGCAAATATTGACAGATATCAAGATTCCCCCCTCCACACAGCCTAGCTCATCTAATGCAACCACAGCATCATCAATAGACTGCATCGCAATTAGCTTTGCTAAGTTTCACTTTGATCTTGATGCCAATGTTACTTCTGACATGTGGTTCTGACGTTATAAAAATCTATTTTAATTTGATTTCGCCAGTCAAGATGATGCTTGGAAGGATTGACTGCTACTTCGAAAGTTGGGTGCAAGTGAGCTGGACAAGTACTGTAATTTGATCCTGCATCAGATACAGTCCAGTCATTAAGCCAACATGCCAACTCGTCATTGTTTAACACTCGTTATCAATGTTTGAAGGTAGTTTTGAACGAAGACGATGACTTTATTACGCATGTGCGCATCGTCAACCGTGAATGCAAACGTTCTCGGTTGAAGTCTTTATCGGAAGATCAATTTAAAGCCCTAACCCTCATTTGCAGCCTCCAGTCCCAAAAGCTGAATGACTTAAGAATACGGCTACTATGTCGAAGACCATAGTAGCAAGACCATATACTCACCCTTGGTGATATGGCTTATGAGTACCAACGTCTCATTAATCTACAACGAGACACGAATATGGTGTAGAAATATTCATGTAATTGACATGTTATGGTTAGAGAGATTATCAATAATAGTATACATTTCGAAGTACAATTATATTAGGCAGATTGTGTAAGCTGTTGATATGACTGTTAGTAGTTCTGTACATGAATAACATACTCCTAGTAAAGAAGCTAGAAAAAAGTCGAACCAACACTTCCGTTATAATTTTTTCCAGTAGTATGCATTCATACTGAATACTTTTAAATGATAGTGATTTCTATATGCTTAGAATCATAGTTTCCAGTCGGGTGTTTTGATACATATACCGTTGGAAAGTGAATAGAGCCATGTTGTTCAGGTTGTCAGCAGAAAAGATGATCCTTAGTTCTTTAAAACCAACTTATGACTACTTTCTTGAAGGTTTATTTATGATTTTAATTTTAAATAATTTTGATCTTTGTTAGGCGGCCACTAAATAACACAAATCATTATACAGCTATTTCGTTACTGTATAAGAATCTTTAGTAGTACACATTAACGACCTCACTGGAAATCGAACTCAGAAAATTTTGGTCACACATGCGAGCGCTCGACCTTTTAAAGTCTGAGATAGAATTCAATGGTGTGCAGTATTTTTGATCTGAAATTCATGGTTTCAATACCTGGTAGGGTTCTCGATAAGTAATGTTAAGGAATTTTATCCTAATAGTACGATAGCGTGGATGGGAAAACACTGTGGAGGCTTCTTCGACACTACGGTGTGCCCGAGAAAATAGTTAACATCATACGGAATTCTTATGGTAGATTTAACTGCAAAATCGTACACGAAGGACAGCTAACAGACTCCTTCGAGGTGAAGAGCGGTGTCAGGTAAGGTTGCTTACTCTCACCCTTTCTCTTTCTCATGGTGATCAACTGGATTATGAAGACGTCAACATCTGGAGGAAAGCACGGTATTCAGTGGACAGCTAGGATGCAGATGGACGATCTGGACTTCGCAGATGACCTGGCTCTTCTATCGCACACGCAACAACAAATGCAATAAAATACGACCAGTGTAGCAGCATCCTCTGCAGCAGTAGGTCTCAACATACATAAACGGAAAAGCAAAATTCTCCGATGCAACACAACATGCATCAACCAAATCACTCTTGATGGAGATGCCTTGCAGGACGTTAACACCTTCACATATCTTGGCAGCATCATCGACGAGAAAGGTGGAATCCGATGCAGATGTGAGGGCGCCGATCGGCAAAGCAAGGGCTGCATTTCTACAATTTAAAAATATCTGAAACTCCAAAAAAATTTCAACCAAAACCAAAATGAGGATTTTCACCACAAATGTCAAGACAGTTCTACTCTATGGAGTGGAAACTTGCAGAACTATCAAAGCCATCATTCAGAAGATACAAGTGTTTTTTAACAGTTGTCTATGCAAAATACTTCGGATTCGTTGACCAGACACGATCAGGAACAAATTACTGTGGGAGAGAACAAGCCAGATTCCAGCATAGGAGGAAATCAGGAAGAAGCAGTGGAAGTGGATAGGACACACACTGTGAAAAGCACCAAACTGCGTCACAAGATAAGCCCTCGCATGGAACCCTCAAAGTGAAAGGAAAAGAGGAATGCCAAGGAACACAATACGCCGAGAAATAGAGAAAGACATGAGAAGAATGAACAAAAATTGGACAGAACTGGAAAGGGAAGCGGAGGACAGAGTTGGTTGGAGAAAACTGGTCGGTCGCCGATGCTCCACTGGGAGTAACAGGCGACAGTAAGTTATTAAGTAAGTAAGTACGAAATAGTTACCCAGTTTCTCATGGTTATAATGTGATTGTCTATCTAATAGAAGTTTACGATGCAAGGTAGGAAAATCCAATGATCTCCATTAACAATTATAGTAATAATATTATGTCTTCATTTCTCTAAATACATAGGTATCTTTCTTGCTAATTACTATTCATAACTACTTTTAATACTATGGATTGAGATACTAAAACGAATAACATATATATATATATATATATCCCTTGTATTTTTATAGTAATTATTTTAAAATTTCACTTTCCTTTTTTGTTTTATTCAATTATTCAATTTAGGTAATTCATGCTGAAGGTAGTAAACGTGTTATGAATGAATGTGTACAAGTTGGAAGATGGCGTCATTTTGTTCATGCACAATATTTAAATTGTTATACATATGATATACATGAAATTTATCGTAATCATGTACGTACAATTGAATTATTTGTTTATTTAGATGAATCAATGAATATTACTTCATGTTCAGATTGTTTTAGTTCTGAAATTAAATCACAATTAAGTGGTGCAGTAGTTACTGTACACAATGCAGAAACTTATCCAGATATAAATCAAGAAGGGATTAATATACAACCAGGTAGTTTAACTGAAATTAAAGTGAAAACAATTAAACATACACAAAAAACACCACCATATGGACGTTGCTCACCGGATACACCGACAAAAATAAATCTTTATGGTTCTGAAGTATATGCCTATTCTGAACATGCATGTCGAATGAGTACAATACAAGTAAGTTGATAGTTTTTTATTGCATCTCTATTATAAATTTGTGTTTTATGAAAAGTTGAGATTTATTTTAAAATGCCGATGAATAAGGTAAATAAAAACAATAATTTTATTTTGTATTGGTTTCATTTTTTAAGCGCGTTTCATGAAAAATCGTTAAATAAACATTTTGATAGATTATTTTCTGTTTAGTTGATAATAATTTGTAAAGATGATGAACGTGTAATTTTAATCATTTTGTTTGTTGAGAGAAAATAACTATTAGGCGGAATTTCAAGGTCTTTGTGTTGGGGAATGTTAGATCCTCGGAACTCACTTGATAAATATCTTTATTTTGGATTTATTTCATGGAGCGATCAGTTGACCTTGAGGTTACATTTGCCACCTAAAAAAATCCTTAGCTGTGATTGGTTGCTGTGTCATTTTAGAGTGATATTTTGTGACTCTTCCAAGGACGTCTTTATGCAGCATGAATAAACGCGATTTGTGTACTTGGATGCATTGTGTGCTGGCTGGGTGTTTGTAGAATACACTTTCTATGCTATATCAAAACTTCTCATTAGTGCTTTTGGATAAACGGATCACAGTAGCCTACCTGGACGGTGGTTCATCGTTTAGTTCTCGTTATTCGACTAAGGTGAACCCGTATCGGTTTTAAGCATACCTAGAGACAAGCATAACACTTTGTAATAAAATACATATTTCAAAAAAGTAGTATACATGACTGGCTTACATCTTGGCTAGTTCAACTTAGTTATACACAAATTATCCAAATATCAGGATTAAATGGTATGAAAGATTGATTTGACAGTAAACTATTTTTTAATGAAAAATACAAACAAACTGATATGCTCGTTAATTGATATGCTTGAATGCTATTACGAGTTTACCTTACTCAGTAAACGAGAGCGAAGACCAATGATGCAGTAACATGATAGGCTATTCTAATCCGTTTGACCCCGGCTCCGCTAACTATATTAATAAGTCTTGATAAGGTGTAGAAAGTGTATTCTACAAGCACACAGAAAATACGAGATTGACAAGCACACAAATTGAGTTTAATTAATACATTATAGAAACGTCCTTTGGAGAGCCACAAAAATAGCGCACTAAAATAAAACATCAACCAATGATAGCCAAGGATTTTCTGGGTGGGAAATGTAATCTGAAGTTCAGCTAAGCAACTTATGCGCAGAAACATAAAAAACCCTTTTCAAGTAATTTCTAAGGATCTAACATCTCCAACACAACCAAGAAACCAAAATCTTATGTTGATTGGAAATTTAAATTCAATATTTCAACATATTGCAAAATTGTACAAAATCAAATGTTTAGTGACGAGAAATTTGTTGACAAAAAATTCAACTTGAATATTGTCTTGTTGAAAGTCAAAATGATTAATTCCATCATGTTGGCTATGTGAAATCATCTCATTGATATTTATAAATGCAACTGATCAATCAGCTTCGACATATTTTCATAGAAGCAACCCGCATAGGATGCATGTATGATATAACAAACCGATCAATTGTAGTCTATAACATCAATGTGGAAAATTCAAACGACCAATACAAATGGTTTTACACTTTACCCGATTGTATAAGTGGTATCTGTACTTGGTAGCAAAGTGGATAACACACTGGAGTTTTATAAGAACAGCACTGCATCTTAGTCCCAGATTGAACATCAACTTAAGGATGTAGGTATATCCAGCTGACGAATCCCGAATAGGACGAAACGCGAGTCTTAGATTCTACAGCTAACTATCTACTTGAAATGATTAATTTTGTTAGAATTCTTTGGAAATAAAGAATATCACAAAGTAAATTTCATTTATCATCGAATTTCTATACTCATTGTTCATCTTAAGTAACACAGTTTGTTACATGTCATCTGTATACACGTTTATGTACAATAAGTAGTATTACACACTTGAAATAAATATAATTCAAAAACATGAAAGATTATCAAAAATATATAATTTTATAGGTCACTTATAAGCTAAAATAATTTAAATTTTATTAAATGCACTTTATAACATTTTTTCGTCATTTCAAATCCCTAGAGGTTAATTATGTATGGTTCAAGTCATTAGAACAGTAAACAAGTTTGAATGCAAACATTCATGAAACTTAAGTCAACTAGGCTAAAAGGATTTTAAAATATTCAGACATTTTTATGCATAATTTAATCTAAGGTGATGCAGTTTTTAGTAAAATGAAAGTGAAATCCATTTTGTATATTCATTTTAAACAATAATGTCTAAGCAATCAAAGTTTGAAACATTTACACTTAGTTTTCAAAATTGACATGAGTAGTATAAACAATTTATATGAATAGGATACTATGGGACTAAGCAAATCACTAGCTCAATCACAAACGGAATGCAAGAGAAATTATGAGAATTTGAAGTCAGCTTATATTTGTAAAGGAAGTATTAGAAAAGTTACACAAACTAATGTATATAACATTGTATAGAATAATGCAACCTGTTGAAATAAGCGTAAATAACACAAGGTTGACAAATTGCTAAGGTTATAATAATACTGAGGTTTCAATAAACATAATAATCATTTGAAATTATCAATCAATCATTGTTAGACCACCATTAGAAACCTGGAAGCACTGAAAGACGGCCGTTTCGTCCTGGTATGGGACTCACCAGTGGCAGTGCACATCCACGACTCTTGCACCTCGCAGTACTCGAACCGGGGACCTTCGGTATTGTGCGCGAACGCCTAATCACTGAACCACTGATTGATCAAGTTAGACATTAACACCTTTCGATACTGGCTCAGTGGTCCAGTGGTTAGGCGTTCGCGCACAACACCGAAGGTCCTGGGTTCGAACCCCGCAAGGTGCAAGAGTCGTGGAAGCGCACTGCTGAGGAGTCCCATACCAGGACGAAACAGCCGTTCAGTGCTTCCAGGTTTCTAATGGCGGTCTAACATTGATCGATTCATGGTTTCAAAAATGTGTGTTTTTGTCAAGCTTAATTTCTGAATGCTCCAACCAAGCGATAAACTGAGCTAACTTACAAATTTAGCTTGCATACAGGAAAATTTTGATTAACTACTCAAAAAAAATATATTCTCTATTGTACTTAAATATATTGAATACTTTTAGCCAATCTGATTTTGATGTTGTTAGTATTCAGCTATTCTTTGATAAATATCTATTGTGACACGATAATGATCAGTGATGAGTATACATGCGTTTCTGAAAACACAATCGATTATTCTATCTCCTTATCAAGCTTAGACTAGTGTAACTTCTTTTTGGTTTTGGGAATAAGAATTTTTCTTGAGAAGCGGAAAGAACAGAGAGATAATAATAGTAGTGCCAACATTAACCTTGAGCTTTGTACGGAGAAAGGCGTTAAATGAATACAGAGGCCAGTAGCGTTTGCAGCAGTGCTTGTATGGATAAAAAACTGGTGAGAGGATTATTCAGACATGCGCCTTTCTAGATAGTGGATTAGATACCTCACTCATAGTTGATGATCTGGCTGATAAGTTAAGACTCGAGGGGAAACCAAGAATGATATCTCTAAAGACTCTTAGTAATGAATCGTCGTAGGTATCTAAAGACGTCGATGAAGAATTGCACTCGATAGACTTTTCATCATCCGTTAAGGTCCAGAAAGTGTTGAAAGTCAAAAAACTACAGGCAGTTCACAGAACTGTGTCAACAGCACATCAAACGGCATCCTGGTCCTATTTGGAAGACATAAGTTTGAAACCAAGTTGTCCTTGTTCTGACTATAGCTTTCGCATAGACTCTGTGCTCGCCAGTATCGCGTTTTTGGTTCTACTAGTATAACTGTAGGACAAATTAAATCCTACAAGAATTAGACGACATAAAATCGATAATAACACAAAATTAAACCTGTAAACTTTCAGAAAGTGTTGTGAACAGAAAAACTGTAGTTGGGTCAAACGAAATTAATGATGAACATTTTAGAGGCAATCAGCTTAATATTTCTTAAATATGTTTATGATAATTTCTGATTTATATTACAAGTTACATTTAAAATTTACACTGTTTCATTGACGAGTTATAGAGAACGTTTTTCATTACTCAAATAATGAGTCAATCATTGTTAGGCCACCATTAGAAACCTGGAAGCAATGGACAGCTATTTCGTCCTGAAAACTCACTCAGCAGTACGCATCCATGACTCCTGCTACTTACATGATTTGAACCTAGAACCTTCGGTCTTGTGCGCGTACGCTTAACCTCTGGACCACTGGCCCGGAATCCAATGGGTGTTTGAAACTTGCGAGTAGCAGGAATAGTGGATGTGCACCAGGAAAAAACGGCTGTTAGTGATTTCGAGTTTCTTATGGCGGTCTAAAAATCACTGATTCATGATTACAGTACATCTGTACACAGTTAAAACTTAACTTTTATACAGTTACATTGATACTTAGTGTTAACAGCATTTCTAGTTTGGTTTGGATAGCCAATAAGAAGAATAAGACATATAGAAAGAAACAATAGAAAATTATGAGTAATAATTTATAGCTGACTTATAGTTGGTCACTAGCCTGTATTGTATGTATTATGAAGGCAATTATTGATATTCGCTAGAGGGGCTAAAAAAACAGAGGTTGAAACTGTTTTCTTTATGACTTATCTAGTAAATAGATCCATGACTTTGTAAATACTAATTATTAACAATTTTTTTGAAAATGTCAAGATAAGAGAGGATTTTTAAAAAAAAACAACTAACTGTTGCTGGAAATTGAAACTTATCTGTCATTTGTGTACATATAGCTGAATTGAATAGAACTAAAATGATGATGATGATGATGATGTGGTTTGTTTATTAAAATCATTCAGTAGTAAATTGAATTATACATAAATAAATGAATAAATATTTATTAATATGAAATATGAACCAAAAATAGAAATAAACAAAAGATATAAAAAAAACACGAGAAAAAAAATTTGGACGTGTGGAATAAGATGAATATGCCTTGGAATATTATTAATTATAT